AAAGAGTCCTGTTATTAGCAGTGGGGGGAGGAAAAGGTGGGAAGGATGTACTTAAATATTTTTCCCCAGTCATTTGGTGGTAATGACATTATTAAAACTTGGCTATGTGCTCCTCTCCTTTAGTGGAGCTAAGGTAGCCTCACAGTGGCTTTCTGATAGCCTTGAGCAATACAAGTAAAAGTGTAAAGAAGAGAAAAGAATTTTTGCAGGGAAGCTTGTTTTTTATTTTCCAGCAGAGTGGCTTGTGTCAACGTTGTCTCTTATTTTCACCGGGCAGACCTCTTTATCTCAGGACAGTGAAGCTGCACTGATGATGGACTATGCTGCAGCCATGGACAGCTCCTGCAAAGAATTAGATCCACCCACTGTGGAGGAAACTGTTGCAAAAGCCACCTCTGATGAAGGTACTTCAGAAATAGTACCTGATACTGACCCACAGCAAAGTGCCCATAAGGCTTGGGCTTTGGAGAATGGCAGCCAACAGTGGGACACCAACACGCTCTTAGACCAGACCTGTGAAGAAATATCTGGGAGCTCATTAAGTGTTTCAGAAACTGGGAGCATGAAAAAATCTAAAGGTATGTGATCCTTGCCTCTGCTTTAGTGAATGACTGCTTCCTCTATATAATTGGCAGTGTCATGCAACAGTCTAGTAGTTCATCCTTTCTTACTGATTGTCATCCTTAAACTCCTTGTGATTGTGGTCTTGGTTGACTCTGTCTTACTAGCAGCCATAAAGAGTGCAGTCCTCTGGCTCTGCAAGACGTGGCAGGCTCTTTTACACTCCTCTCCATCAAGAAACAGAAGGGCTTACCCTTAGAGGTTGAAGGGCAGCTCATGACACCCAACTCACTTATCTGGGAGAGAAATAACTAGCCATATTGTCAATTCCTCAGTGAAAATCGTGTTCTTGTAAAGAAGGATTTGTGCTATGTTAGCAGCCCCCTTGCTAACAGGATGGCAGGGTTCCACGGTTGCTTTCTGATATGTTTCTTGTCCTCCTTCACATCTTTGAGCACAAGACTCCCTTGCCCTCACTAAAGTGTGTGTTCAGAAAGCACCACAGCTAAACCAGAAGTATGCTCACTCTTAACTGCCTTGTGAACAGTTTCTCCCTTTGCACTGATTTCATTAATACATAGTTTGCTAAAGAAAATGGAAAAAAGGGTAGTTTAATAAGCAAATAAAGGGTCAGATCATTTTGGTTATGTAGTTACACACCTGGATAGCTGCAGTTTGAAAATGTCTTAGGACTCTTTTTGTTTCCTTTATAAATCTATTAACCTCTGAAGCTGTAGCACTGGTTTGTGGCCGTTAGGAAGTCTGACTCAAGAGCTAGTGCAGTGGATTATTGTCCTGAACAGGCGGCGCACCAGTCTCATGGGCTGCACATGGAAGTTGCAAAAATTGTTGTGTTTCTCACCCATATCCATCACTCTTTCGCTTTATTACCTTCTATTCTTTCCTTACCCAGAGATACTATAAAATTGCTTACTACAAAACCTCAGTATATTACTAGATTATCGTAATCCCCCCCATATAAGGCATACACTGGACCTCTTTGCCAAGGCTCTTCCTTACAGCATCGAGGTTTTCTGGCCTTCTCAGAGCTGTATTGCTCCATCTGATCGATCAGGATAGTACAGCAACAATCAATTTGACATAGATGGTCAGGCATTGAAAAGTTTTGGGTGTGTTTGTGGTGGGGGTAGAGGGTTAATTGTGAAGGGATGTCTCATTTGGAGCCTGGAAGAGTTTAGGAAGCAGCATGAGATTTTGCAAAACCTCTGGACTCTTCTTTAACACGTTGTTCTAAACAAGCAAGTGGAAGTTTGTATGTGAGCTGTTGTCTAGTTTTGTTTTTCCTTGTGCAGTATGTTGCAAAGAGATCAGGCTTCTAAAGATCCTGTCTACATGGTGTAGTACAGAAGTGCTAAAAAGTGCAAAGTATCTCTTTTATTTGAGAGTTGTCCCATCTTGAAAAAAATATTTTAAAAACAGCTCTCAAACCCCTGTCTTTATACACAGATCTCTTTGTGGAAGTGTTGTATCTCTCCTTTGTCATAGCTGGGTAACATTTTATGGAGTGAGATAGGAAAACATTTCTACATTTCTGCCCCCCTGACTTCAGTTGGCTTTGAATAGTTCAAGGTTTAGGTTTTGTCAAACAATTTCCCTTTAAAAAAAAAAAAAAGGCACACAAAATCAAACATAACCAAAAAAACACTCCAAAAACCCCAAGCAAAACAAAACCAAACCTCCTCTGCTTGAAAAAGCCTTATGTATAGTATTAATATCTTAAAGTTAGCACTGTCTTTCTTTTTTTCTACTCTTGCGTGGTTTTGGTTTTTACCTTTCTGACTTCCTCTTTCTTACCCATTCCCTTTTATAAACTTAAGAGGACTACTATGCCAACCAGAATTAATTACCTACACAGTAAGTTATTTTTGTCTTATTTTTTCTAAGAAAATGTAGCTTTACAATGGTACACTCATTGTAAAAACAAGCAAAACATAGTTCGGCACCCGTTTTCTTCTTCCCCCATCCATTTCTTTCCTCCCTCCAAAATTACCTTCCTGAGCTCAGGGGTCTTAGCAGACAAGTCTGCCGTAACAGACCATTCTTCTGGTGGTCGTGCTGTCCAGGTGGATCATGCAGAATGGACAGCAAGGAAGGCTTGGAGGGGTGCTCAGCATTCCTGGTCTCTCTCCATCATGCCCATTCCTGTAGTATCTGGTTATCAAACAAACATCTGCTCATGCCAAACACGTGTGACCCCCATAACTGTATATGCATGTGCAGGACGCTTATTTTAAAACCTGCTGCTTACAGTTTTCTAGTTCTCTTTTCTAGCCTAACTTGTAGAGCTACGAGGGCCTTAGCAGGTATTTACAAAACCACCTGGATAAAAACTGTTTTGGAAGTTGGAAAGGAATGGAAAAAGCCATCTCTACTCATATCCCTGTAGATGTGGAAGGAAATCTTCCTTCATTAACAAAAATGAGATTCAGAAGGGATCCTAGCCCCACAAGTATTTTCACAACACCCTAGACTAGTGCACAGGAGCCTATGAAAACTACTCAGTCTGTACAGCACTCTTGACATGCTCTCTGCTTATCTCCTGGTGTTAGGGGCAGAGTTGGCATATGGATCCTGTTGAACTTGAGCAGTAAGCATGCAAATAGCACGAGCATCGCCAAGCTTGTGATTTGCCCTACTCTGCCTTCGTAGCAGGGGTGCATGCCTCCACAACAGCTGGAGCCGCTGTCAGGCAGCACGTACCAAACTGGCTGGAGACTGATGGGTGGCAGCGGGGATGTGGCAAGCTTCCAGGTAGCAATGACCTCAGTACCTCTGAAAACACAGAGAGCTTTCATGTCAGGGAGGGAGAGGGGGGCTGCTGCTTCTGCTGAGCTTGTGGTGCTCTCAGGGAAGCACTGCCTGCAGTTGTGCAGCTGCAGCAAGTTGTCCCAGACTACCAGCACAATTTTTGCAGCATTCTTGGTTCGGTTCTGTTTCCTAGTATGGGAAATCAGTCTGAATGGATAGGACTAAATAGCTGCTTACGGATAGACCCTTCTGTCCTACTCCTTCTGTTGGCACAGCTTCAGCTGCAGCTGCCAAGACTGCTGGGCAGAACAGCTGACTGCTAAAACAAAAGCCGCGCAGCAGCAAGGCCTCATCAATCCCCCCCAACCTTTGCATATTAACAACTGTCAGTATCATGGGGTTGAACAGTGTTTCTTTAATGCTGTTGACAACAGCTTGAAGTGGTACTGCCTTGCCAAAAAGATCAATCAGAGGGTGATGGGCAAGCAGTCAAGATTCAAATCCGTGAGTTCCAGTTGCTTTCAGCTGACTTCTGCTTCCATCCCATTGTACCCTGTGAGAAAAGTCTCAGCAGCAGCAAGACAAAACGTGCTAGGATATCCTCCCAGGTGCTGAGTGCTTAGTCCTTAAAATACAAGATAATATTCCCAACCACGTGTTTGTAACTGCTCCGATCTCAACAAAGCAGCATCTGGCTGCGTGCGACGGAGCTGCCACGCAATACCTATTCCGCAGCTGTCGCTGTGCAAAATGACGCGCAGCCTGTGTCAAGTCCTTGGGGGACAAATGTGTAATTCTAGCTATTGCACAGCATCGCGTGAAAGAATTGGTCTGTGTGTTCCTTTTTGTATCCATTTGCAATGGGAGGAAAAGCAGAATCGAGACCGTGCGGTGACAGGAATTAATAGCTGAACTGAGAAAGAACTGGGAAACCTGTGGTGCGGGAAGGAGGTGTGGAAGCTTTGCCAGGGAGATGACTGTCCCCACGTACTAGTCTGACTGCCAGAAGGCTCCTGTGTCGGCTTGCTACCTGGGTCCTCCTTCGTTCAAATTGGCTCATGCCACTTGCACAGCAACACTACCCAATTCTGCGCAAAACTATTGCTATTTTAACATTGGGCTGATGGACTGACACCAGGCTGAGTGTTGCAGGTCGCTCGGAGAAGTGTCCCTGCGAGCTGCCACCGAGCTGCCTTACACATCAGGCACGTGTGTGCACATGGAACGGGAAGGTGGAATTTGGCAGAACGGTGGCTGCAAAAACAACCCAAACTTGCAAAGAGAGAAGAGTACTGGTGGCTGGTGTTGGCAACATGAGTCCCGAGTCCCTGGTGAGATGACAGCTGCAAATGCCTTGGCTGCATAATAGGTTTGACATGGGATCAAGGGAAGAAATACAACAAAATAAAGGAACCTAATTCACGGCAGAAGGGATTTGAGCAGATTTCTGAACCTGTTGGAAGCAGATGTAATATTATTTTTAATCTGCTATTCCTAACAAGATTTTAAAATAGCAAATGCTTCATGATTGTTACTGTAGGTGGTGCTACCAAATTCATGTAGAATACATGCTGTCTGGCTTGTGTGGGCCTACTGCATGCAGGTTGACTGCCAGGTGCTGTTCTCTGGCACCAACAGTGTCCTTCACCTCAAATTAAAATGCTACCTTCATGTTGTGCATCACGGACCAATCTTTTCATTTCAGCTCCTTCGATCTCTGAAACAACAGAGAGTAACATTACTTCCTCTGTATCACTCTTTTTATAAAATACTCGATACTTTTATTGTATTGGAAAGATTGGATATGCCTGTTTGACATGTGAGAACCCAGTGTACAACCCACACTAAACGCTGTGCATGTGTATGTTTGACCACTAACAGCTTTCAGAAGAGCATTTTAAACTAATAAAGTGTAAGGAAGGAGACTTCTGCTAGATGTGTGGATTGGCTGTAGAAGCTGAAATCAGAGGATTAATATTTGGTTGCTCATAGGCATGTTTCACAGTAGCTTTCCTTCCTTTTCAACAGCGTCGTTTCTGAAAGAACTAAAGGAAAAGTCCTTTTTTCTTTAATGCTCCTCTAGCAATATATGTGAGCTCTTCTCTCCTGAACGTTTCTGCTAACTGTACAAGTGTGCATATATCCATATATCTAGAACTACCACAGTCTGTCATGATTCAGTTTGCATGACACTTGCATGGAATGAGGAGAAGTGGAGAAGTACATACTTCCATGGAGTCTGAATTTCTCAGTGGTGTTCAGTTGGGAGAGAGCTGGATCAACAGCGGGGCACGGAAGGTTCAGTAGCATGTAGTGTACGTATGTATGCCTCTGGCTGAAAGCACGACGATTGCTTGCATTTGCCAGTATCTGAAATCACTTGTTCCAAGGCAGAACTCGCACTATTACATCCTCTAGGTTAGAAACCATCAATATTTCTGCTTTAGATTCACCACGCTCTTAGCTTTCTAACATTGTTTGAATAGTTACCAGGGTGATGCTTGAACTGGAAGTGTTAAGACCAAGGCTTTTTTTTAGTCGCGCTGCAGTTATAGTTAAAGCTGAACTCCAAGAGGAAAGCAGCCTGTTCTGTCTAAAGTGTCCTGCACCTCTGCTGTTTGCTTCTGCAGGTGGGATTTTGAAAAAAAGTGCGAAGCTCTTTTTCCGCCGGCGACATCATCAGAAGGATCCAGGAATGAGTCAATCGCACAACGATCTTGTCTACCTGCAGCAGCCACTGTCAGAGGAAACGCGCAAGAAGGGAGGCACGCTTTCACGTATTCTGAACAGAAAGCTCCTTTCCAAAAACAAAAGCAAGAACAAACTGAATGGTGCTTCGGCAGAACCATACGCATAAGACTTAACACTCTCTGATGGGATACTTGCACATCAGTTGACCATTTGTTTACAGAGCAGTACTAGAGAACAAAAATACAGCCAATGACTTGCATAAAATGATGTTCACTAATAGAGTGGTCCAGGAATAAACAGAAAGCTTGTCCTTTTTATTTATTTTTCCAGAATGCTTTTTCCCTCTGATTATAAAGTTGCTCCTCCAAATACAAGCAGCGCTAATTGTATGATGACAGCTTTTGGAGGACCATGTGATTTACTGTAGAAGATGAGGGAGGATGGGCAGAGGTGCAGGTGGGGAGGACCTGTGTGTAAGCACCTAGTTTACATTAACGGGGAGCTAAGAACTGAAACATCATATCTGCTGTGTGACTGAACCACTATAAAGAGAGAATATACCACTGTGCTTCCTTGCTGCAGCCTGGAATAGTAGCAACACAAGTCTCTACTTGATTTTCTAGTCAGGCTGAAAGGGAAAAGAGAGACTAGGATCCAGTTTGTATTGTAATTTGGAAACGGGTAAGTTTTCAGAAGCAGAACTAAAATGCTGATTAAGATATAGCCTACTGTAGTAACTGTAGCCTGCTGTAATAACTGCTCAGTCCATGTAGGTGGAGACATGCCTTTGATATTAGCCATAAATCAATAAATTATGCAAATACTTATACTAGCATATTGTTTAATGTTCTGTGCAGAAGTTAAGCTTAAAAAATCAGAACTTTTTTAAAGCTCTACTTGAGGCTACTCACAAACAAAACATTTAAAAATTCTTACATGTAGCTTTTCTTCCCTGTGTGAGAAGCTGCGTTGCTAACGCAAAAACCTATCGTAGGGGCTCTAATTCCTTCTCGCAAGTACTTGTTAGACAAGTGTATTAACCATCATATCAAATGCAAAGCTAGGAGCAATAAGTGATGAATGGAGCATATTTAACCCTATAATGCTTTTCATTAGACAGCTTGTTTTACTTGCCAAACACTTACCGAGATCTTAGCAAACACAGTTGTGAAGAGAGCTTTTTAAAAAATAATAATAATCCCCTTAGTGGTCTTTCAGTTTCTAGACCTACCAGTGTTGTCATGTGGTGAGTGGTTGGTTGGGTGAGGTTTTTTACTTTTTTCCTCATTAAACGTTGCAGCTGGCTCCTTTAAATTGAAAGGAAAAACTGATGGACGTAAAGGCATAGTTCTTGTTTTGGCTATTAAGAAGAGTGAAATGTCAGTTAGTGTTTTGCAGGTACCATCTTTCATGCATACCTGTACTTTTCCGTCATCTACATTCCTG